CCCAAGTGGTAAAAGATGGACCCAAAAATGATGGATAAACGTATGGATGCACCTATTTCAGGCGAGGAACCCAAAACGATGCTCCCGCTACGCTGGGTGTCAATTGTCGCCGAACTCGGTCTTTCAGGCTTTAAGGGTCTGTTCAGTAGATCAATCTCAGCGAAAATGACAGCATAACTAGCTTGTGGAATCCGCTTCCATAACCTAAGACGCTGCTGTTGCTGTTCATGAGATTCTTCCTTGGATTCGATCAAACAAACGCACAACCAAATAGCAACCAACCGCGCGGGTTACGTACAAACGCCCAATTATTGTATACTACCGTCACACCAATGAGGGCGATGAAAAAATTCACTCAATGATGATGATGACCGCGTAGTGTGCGACACGGATGATTCAGAAGTAGGAAAAAGAAGCGAACACGTCTGAATGAATCTCAATTGCCCGTTCCGGGAATGGTTGTATTTGTAATCGGAATCATGTGGCTGTTGGGACCCCAGGTAAAATGACTGTCACGAATGTTTTCGTCTATAGGAATACAGTAGTGTTCGCCGATATCTTGTTGTACGGCACTCACACCGATACCTTTGGTGAGGTCTCGATCGTGGTGTAGAAGAGGTTTGCCAACTAGTCACCAATCTTGACGGTACCAGGTTTGTTAAGCCTGACGGGCTCGACCCCCCTGATTCTCAAATCCCTGTCAACCATCATCTTGCCTGCTATGAATGACTTGTTCAACTGGTCGCCATTCGAGGGTTCACTGCCGACTGACCGGAACAGCACAACAGTAACGGTGATTCCTACAGACGGTGGTCCCCGCAACGTAGACACTCACAAGCCAATATTTGACTGGTACCTGTTTTGGTCATGGTTGCCGAGAACCTCATGGAGAAGGGCCTAGTACAACTGCTCCAATCGAACAATCTCTTGATGCCCGCATAGCACGGTTTAATGCCAAGTCGCTCATGTATTAGCAATCTGCTGGTGACAAGGCACGAATAGTTACAGGCAGTGAAACAGAGGAAATCTTCCGATGAAATGTTCATCGATTTCAACAAAGCGTTCGACGTGGTCAGCCATGAGGTCCTCCGTAAGCTGAGTGTGCGCGTACTGATAGATCACTGCACCGGTGGATCCGAAAATTTCTCCTTAGACGAAAGTGGAGGGTACAAGCCGATAATCATTTAACCGACTGCTATCCACCTACCAACGACTCAAGCCAATACACGGTGTTAGGGCTTACATTGTTCTTGATATGTATCAATAATCTAGCTCAGCTCCCTCGATCGCCATGTGCCTTGTTTTCCGACGACCTGAATATATGGAGAGTGATTAGGATTCCGACGACTTCAGCAGGGCCTCAACCGCATCTCAATGTGGTCTGCGGAAGTCTGCCTCCCGATCAACCTAATCAAGACGGTTTTTGTGAAGACAGACGGCCACCATACATCCAGTAACGGCCATTTCGTCCTATTGGGACTTGTCAATAGGGCGCACTCGCCGAATCCTACCGGATTCGAACCCACGACCTTACTCTTAGGAGCCAGCCATGGGTGACCGCAGCGGACCGTCATGACTGCTATCTAACTGGTGGTGTAATGGTTGTCTATCGAAGTCTAGCTGTGACGAATCTTCACCCTACTGTTCACTAACGTCCAAGTGGCTATTCAAGAGGCTAGGAAAGAGCGTTAACAACCGAGGTTACACCCTTGACGCCAAACTGTTACATAACACACGTTTCGTGAAGGTACTCTCACGCTGAGAGTTGTCACCCGTGGACAACGCGAACAGGCTTCTCCGAAACTGACTACGCATGCTTTGAGAGCTCAAACGTATCTTTTGCATCCGGTCTGAAGAGGCTGCCGCTCGCAGTTTCTCCTCCGTCCTAGGACCAATGCTAGACTACGGCTCGCCCGCCTATTGCCCGACCACTCGAGATGAGGTGCAGAAGATCGAACCAGTCCAACACATCGCTACTGAGCTCATCCTCAATTTACAGAGTTTGTCGTACGAATACACGTACGAAAGACAGAAGCTGTGCACCCTACCTTACTGTCAAGTGCTAGCAGACCTCATTATGGCCCACCGCATTGGACATCTAGGTGACGCCACTGTTCCAAATGCGAATACTTTGCAATACATGCGGAGGCCAGCACATGCGTGTGGTTCCAGATTGGAAGAGAGTTCCACATCCCCAGTGCTTTGAACGGCGAATTGTTGAGGTTTGGAACAGTTCACCTGAGCATATATATGGTGGAAGCAGTTGAAAACATTGTGGAATGTGCATTTCTCCATTGTTAGATGCAGATAACAACCATCCATTAACAATGATATCCTACACTTTCGAGTCTTAATTTACTGTGAGTTATACGTTTTTTACGATATCACGTGAGGACTTGTGAAATGATCGAAGTGTTGACAGGTCATATATAGTTTCAGGTGCTTTTTGATGTATTCCTTCTCACGATACAGTTGCACAGGTTTAAATGTTTACTTGCTGTAAGAAAACACTATTCAGTATGCAGCCCCATGTGGTCATCAGGAGGGGTCACCTGATTGTGTCAGTGGGCCCACGTGGGTGGAGATACACGGCGCAAAGACCTCGTGGTGGTCCCGAGTAATTCAGTCTGTGGGGTCCATGAACTCCGTTCCCCAAGTGTCATGTCGTCTCAGCGTTGGACCGAGTTGACAAAATGTATCGCTACGCTGCGCTATGGCTCACTTGTGTTTCGATTCCGTGAGCATAATGGCTCGAGCACAACCTCTGCTGTTTGGCAACGAAGTGTACGTCTTTGTCGTACTGTTAACGTGTGAAACCTGTTGAAATTTGGGCGGCACTGTCTACCACATCAGACTTACAATCATGCAAAGTGACCAGTCCGGGAGTTTTCGTTCAATGCATTACGGTGACAAGCTCGTAAGGTAACAGTACAGGCGTGCTGCCAGTTGAATTGTCACGGCAAATTACATAAAGGCTTAGAAGTGAATTAGGCAAGGTGTGTCCACTGTACTATATAGCGGGTTACCACAGAAAGAGTACGCATATGTGCATTCGGGAACTGGGCCCATAACCGGGGGTAAGGAGGTAAACAGGAGAGGAGAAACCCAACGTAAACATTCATCCGACGCAGTCATTGATGCGGGAGAACAAAACCTGCAATCCAATTCGTTATGGCACGTCGGCCCCGGTCAATAAGAAGAGGTGCTCAAGGTCAATGTGAATAGCTTGCTCCAAGACGACAGGAGTAGAGTACGGAAAACATACGATAGCGAGTGGGATAAAAGATGCTCTATTGCAATGGAGCGGAGTATGGAGGCTAAGTCACGCAACATGCAATGTATTGCGGAGTTGGGGGGGGGGGATAACAGATGGTGTGGTAAATGTGCCAAGCTTACCAGACATTGTGAATCGGTTAGATTCCTTATTCTTGAAAGACCGCCTGCTATGGCGGATCACAATCGGCTGTGATGTGACAAAGGACGACACTGCTACACAGTAAAGAAGCCACACGACTTGTGATGGACCGTCTGGTGACGACACAGCCAGTGATAGGTCAAACAAAAAGGGTCGTGGTGTGTGTGTGGGGGCGAGTAGGCGGAACGACTCGAAGTGATGGTACCGTGATTAGTTACGGGTAGAGAAACCTGATGAGATTTAGTTAGTTCATCGCAAATCTATTACAAATCCCATAAATCAACTCACGATCCGGAAAAGCACCGGACGATCGTTTCGCCCTATTGGTTCTTGTTAATGGAACGCATTCCCTCGGTCCACCCCATGAGGTCAAACCCTTGGCCGCCAGTGGCTTGCACCACTAGCGAGCAACTTAGGCCACTGGACTCCGTTATGGAGAAGCGACCATCCGGTGCTTTAGTAGGTTGGTAGTTGGTGAATTTGGCTTGGACTCTGTGATTACGGTAGCATTAAAAGTACCAGACAAGCGAAGTAGAGTTGCAAAAACTAGGAGACAGAAACAAGCCTTGGCCAAAGACAGGGTGAGAAAAAACAACGACGTATGAAGGGAGTGATGCGAAATATGAATATAGATTATAGTATTCAGCTGAACCAGTGGTGAGAAATGATGGATTAATCGAATGGAGAGATAAAAAAATAGAAAAAAAACAGATTTTAGGGGAGTGTTGCAGCGGCTATGAAACTGTGCCGTATCGGACAAAGTCTTTAATCATTAATGTGGACAATCTCGAGGTTCCACTACAAGAGTTACCGGACGAACCATCGCAGCCCAGTAATTGGATCCGGAGCTACAAGTTATACTAGCGCTCAGAGAGTCTAATGTGACTTCCAGAAAGACTAGACTTTCAATTTCTGGAAAATTGCAGACAAAACATATTGAGGAACTCGGAAAGTGGATTCTAATTCACGGTCATAGAGGACGGTTCAAGGAGAACTTGAAACCATTCTAGCGGCTTAGTGCCCATTGTTACCATCGCGGAAGGTTGTTCATGATGAAACGCAGAACAGGTCTTGAAGAAGTTGAAGATGAAGTGGGGTGTGCACTACCGACGAGCACCCGGTAGAGTGAAACGGACATCTGGAACCTTCCCAAATGCGTGGGAGGCAATCTGACCTCGAATCTACTGAGGAAAACCCTCAACAAAAGGTATCAAAAATCCTGTTAATAAATAATGGGATATAGATGACGCCATCCTTAGTCAGGGTCCCGTGTGTTTTGTAGCCCAGATGGAAGTGGGGGACTGGTTGAGAGTAGTAAACGAAGCAAACAGCGAAAAATTGGTAAGCGAACCGGAGGAGAATGAGCAATCAAGCATTTTGTACGAATTCAACTCCCGGCTAGTAAATGCATAAAGCAAATGCGTATGAGGCCTAGTTAGTTGGTGGTCAACCCATCGCGAACAAGGTGTCTCCATAATAGTTTCCCGGATTGCGCGCAACTTGGAATAGCCAAGGCACCCAGCGATACAGTTGACTGTGGTCAGGGTTAAACAAACTGTTGATGACGCTGAGGCGATGAACTTACCTTGAGGTAGGACTGCAGCTCATCGGACCGCCACGTGCGCGACGCACTCCAATCGCGGTTCACCTCGATCGCCTCCCGCTCTCGCAGCCAGTCAAGTTCCCGTTCCGACGAACGAATGAATCCCAAAAGTGTTTGCAACAAAGTCGAACGTCGACTACAGGTCTCCTAAATAGGAAAGAGTGGACAAACAGCGGATTAGGCTGGAGAAGAGCTGGATGGAAAGTGTAAAAATAAAAGGAACTCGGAGGGGAAAAAGGCACAATGAGACAGATAGAAGTAATCGTTTTCCTGTCGCTTGAAATGTGATTGGGATGAGAGAGGATTCAAAGCAAGAAGTTTAAATGAAAGGCAATCAGTTTGGACGCACTGTGTTCGGTGCCTGAGCAAGTGGCTTGTACCAGAGGGCACACAGGTAGGGAAAAGAGATCCGTTGTAAGTACCGTTCACGCGTGTAGAAACAGTTGCCGTTTGGAAACGGAACGCACAAGGCGACGAGGTATCCCCTTGCACAGCGGCGGCAGGATATGACATCATCAGCCTTCAAGTTCCACCTATTCCGTCGGACCCCGTGCAACATTCCTTACACGCACACTTTATGCAGTTAATTGTGGTTCATCACAGCAGTTTTCAAATAAGGTAGTCCTCCATATACCCGGAAAAGAAGTAAACAGTTCCCCAGACCTGTTGATCTCATCAATAGTACGTATCTCTCGGGATCCGAACCCTAACACATTCTAAATTCCTTGTCGTATATAGCTAGTGTCAGTACAAGTCGAGTCTCTAGAGGTCAACCATGTCCTCTGCAACCTTCGCAACTAGCATAGCAGTGAAGGATAAGACGCGTTATATCGCAGTTAGCTTGCAAATCATGAAGATCCGAAACTGTTTCCCGTGGCCTAGTGTCACAAGCTGCTGACTGACGATGCAGGCCGCTGATGGTCATGGGTTCGTAGCCTGGTGGATCTGATGGATGTGCACTAATGACGAGACCCAACAGGTAGAAAGCGCCGTCTAGTGTTTTTCCGGGCATGTGGAAGCTGTTACAATGAACTTGCAATTAATTCCTTACATGCGTCGGCATAACGTAGGCTCCTAAAACATCCATCGACTGACCTGCGAGCATGTCCGGTGGACTTTAGACAATTGAGAAACGGAGAAGGCCCAGTTGCACGGCTTGAACTTCGCTTGAATAGCGACACAACACTTACTCACCGTGGATATGGAAAAAGTGAATTGATAACTCAGTCCAACACCCAATAAGCCCACTGTACTGGATACTATGAAGTTTCAGGTAAAGCATTCGAAAAGAAGTCAACGCCCTAACAACAAACTGGCTTGCTGCACGACCTCGTGGTGGCAGGTGGGTAACTTGGGAGTATCTAACCATCGCAACGTGGCGCAAAGGTTTGTGTACAATAACAACAGCAACAAGAACACCAACAACAAACACAAAAACAACAGTACATCAGTTATTTGAACTGGTGCGTCGCTGCTATACAACCATCATGACCTATGAAATAAAGAATAACAAGAGGAAGAGAAGGGGAACTTACCTGAAAAACTTAATGCCCCAAGCAAACATTCAGGACAAGGCGCCTACACCTTGTGTCAACGACATACCGTCACAAACAGCTGGCTATCGTGCAAAAATAAGGCGGCATCGGCGAGACAGCTTCCTTGCGGCTTTCACTGCCACCCGTCATAATCAGCCATTACCCCACAGATAACTCAGCACCAAACACACTTTAAACAGGCAATCCGACTAGGAAACGGCAGCAGACGCGCCACTGGTGTCTACTGCGAGCCATGTCCTGTAAAGTCTCGAGCCAAGCACAAGGCGAGTCACGTGGACTCCAGCCCGGAAGGCGAGACGGACCAACGGCACCCAGTTTGGTCGTCAGTAACTTCATTTCCCGCTGCCAAGTCAAGTTCCGCTCAGCTCGAGCCCTGCGCCACCCTACACCTGGCAGACTAAACAAGGCCCTCCTAGGTAAGCGGTGACCAGGCATAAGTAGCACCTGGCCGAGCCAACGCAACTTATTCAGTGCTATCTGTAGTTCCAAGGAACTAGCTGGGTTATCACTACCTAGTACTCGGCTACGCACATCATCGTTGCGGACACGTTGGTGCCATACGATACCAACAATGCTTCGCAGACAAGGATGATCGAAGGCTTGAAGACGCCTCAGATGTTCAGACCGAAGGGACCAAGTCTCATTACCATAGAGCAGAACGGCCCTCACCGTGGCCTTGTATACACGGCCTTTCAGACGAAGGGAAACTCCCTTCTGTCGCCAAAGATGCTGCAGGATAAAGAAGGCATCTCTGGCCTTTGCAATACGCGAGCTGACATCAGTTTCTATGCGCCCATCGTTGTTAATAAGGTTGCCAAGGTAAGAGTATTGATCAACCACCTCGAGTTCCTCGTTAGCAAGGGTCAGGGGGTCATCAAGTGACTGCTGGTCTTGCAGCAATACTTTGCACTTTGAAGGTGCAAAGCGCATAGCAAATAATGGGACCACTCTAGACAGGCTATTCAGGGTTGATTGTGCCGCCGCAACATCGTCGAAAGGCGAGACGATATCGTTCGCATAATCTCGATCAACTAACCTTCCATCAGGCAGCACTTCAATGCATCCATCGTGAGATTCCGCAAGGGAACACTCCAGGATAGAATTCACGCCAAAATTGAAAAATATGGGGAAATCGGACAACCCTGACGAACGCCACCTGAGCTCGGAAAGCTATCTGATAGATCACCATAGACTCTGACGTGGCCTGTAGTGTTCGAGTACAGAGCACATAGGATGTTCACATATTTCGTGGGAACACCCTTCCGGGCAAGCATTTCGAACAGAATCGATCGATCGACTGAATCGAACGCACTCTTTAAATCGAGGAACACAGCTATTGTCAGCCTGAGGTATGCGTGACGCTGCTCTAGCACCTGTCGCAAAGTGAATATACGGTCCATACAGCCACGTCCTGGGCAGAAACCGGCCTGCTCTTCCCTAATCCGAGATTCCCGTTCCACAGTGAGGCGACGAACGAGAATCGACACGAGTAATTTTGTCACAACTGGCGTTAGACTAATACCCCTGTGGTTAGAACAGTCTGCGCGACTACCCTTCTTGTATATTGCCACTATAATCGGTTCACTCCAATTAGCCGGGACACTCTCTTCCTTCCAGAT